GTGGATCATGTGATTTATATCAATTATGTCCCTCTGTCGCTACGCCCAGTATTTAGCACGCTTTTGATGCCGGTGAAAATGCATTGCGTTGGGATTGAACCCAGGTCCTGTTGTTCAGTAAAGTATCACATGTCCGGCCGCGGTAAAGGAGGTAAGGGTCTTGGCAAAGGCGGAGCGAAGCGTCATCGTAAGGTTCTGCGTGATAACATCCAGGGTATCACCAAGCCGGCCATTCGAAGACTGGCACGTCGTGGTGGAGTGAAGCGCATATCTGGCCTCATCTACGAAGAGACTCGAGGCATCCTGAAGGTCTTTCTCGAGAACGTTATCAAGGATACGGTTACATACACTGAGCATGCTAGCAGGAAGACGGTTACGGCCCTTGATGTGGTGTATGCGTTGAAGAGGCAAGGCAAGACTCTCTATGGCTTCGGTGGTTAGTTATGAATTCACTTGTATATTTTTTTCATCGTCATTCTGCTAATGATTCAAGTCCATTACATTCAGCACTGAATATCGACAGCATGTGGTTAGTGATTTCATGCCAAACGGTTTGCGTTGTCAAGTTGCATCCTCCTCCTGCTCGATCCGCTTTGGTATCCTGGGTCGTAAACCATCGTATTTTATGATGACTGGGGACTTCACAAATTGTCTGTCGTGGAGGTGTGGTATGAGTCCGCTTAGGTTTAGCGAGAGGAATGGATTTGGTTTCTAACGTAGAGTGTTTTTATTATAGTAGGTGAGTACAGTGTACTACAGTGACTCAGAGTCGGTAGTAGTGGTTGTGGGTATGGTAATAATCTCACCTGAAACAGCGAAATGATTGCCATAGTGAAAACAGCCATCGCTTCAGTAACATTGTCCGACTCGCTTCGATCATCTCCAATGGTCTCATCTGCATGAGGCATCAGAAGCAGCAGGGAAATGTTCTCGTTTCCCGGTAGAATAATTTGCGGTAGAAGTGTACAGAAACCAAGAAGAATCCTCCGAAATTCCCATATTATGGCCAACACATTATGTGTTACACATATAGTTGACCATGTGCATATTTCCCCTCACGCTGCCTTTGGTGGAGGA